GGGGTTTAAACTATAAGCACAAAAACAAAAAGGGAATTATTGGACCTGAACTCTGACCTGATGAGGTTAAAAAATGTTCAAAATTAATTTCGATTATTGAGCTAAAGCACGCCATCTTTGTCTGAAAAATTATATTTAGTGTGCTTGAATGAAATACTTTTAACTAGAAGAAAACAGGGAAAGAAATGTGTATTTATTTTGGACACATTAGGGGAAGAAAGTTATTTATAAATATTTATTATATAAACTTCTGCAGCCTAATGACAGAAAATATGAAAAACAGAATTTAGAAAATAGTGCATCAGCAGCATCACTCAGAGTTGCTCATGTTGGTGATTTAGAGTCCACAGCCAGCGCGTAAAGACGCACAAAGGCATCTCCAAGAAGCCAAAATATCTTCTCACTATCCGGCAAATGTGAGTCCCCCTGCTGATGAAACAAAAGTGAAAGGAAGTTAAAAAAAAGATGGGAGGATGAGGCGCGCTTGTTATCTCATATTGTCCCATTCATATTCAAACTCACACTCGTCTCATTTCATTGTCCGCAGAAATTATTCAGGAGATCGTAAATATTAATTTTAAATGAATATCCATCCGCGCTGACACAGTTTCCATGCTTTGTTGGGCTGATCCGCTGATGTCCAACTTTCATTAGATAACGGGGGAAATAGAAAGTTCAGTCAAAGTTTAATTTTAATTTTAAATCTCGTGTGTGAGATGTTCAGACTCTTTCACAGATCGGAAACATTCTGCCAAGTTTGACATGTAGCCTAAAAATGTCCTCACTTATAAGGCAGCTAAATATTCTATTTTTTTAAAGTTTGTCGAGTTCATATTTTAGGACTAATGTTGAACTTTAATATGAAATATGAAACGATGGAATAAATAAAAAAAGAGTTGTGTTATATGAAATGTGGGGATATCTAAATTCATCTTCATTTCAGTTTTTGATCTGATCTTTGTTTCCACCTTTGACTTTTCTCTTCAGGAATCTTCAGTCACAATATAAATGTTAAGAAATTGTATAAAATGTTTATTTCTGCATAAATGTCTGTTTAAGAAGGTAACTAAATAAAAACTTGAGACGATGTAAATAAAAGAGAGCATTCTGAATATTCAAGGTGCCGATAAAAAGTGTTTGTGTCGGTGTGTTGCTGTCACTGTGATCCTCGTGTAACGGGCCTCTCTCTGCTCCTCGTGCAGCTCCAGGGGAACATCTTCGCGGGTTTCGATGAGACTCTGCTGCAGAGGGCGGAGGCTCTGGCCGCGGTGGACATTGTGGCCCAGAAGAGCCACCCGTTCAAACCGGACGCGACCTACCACACCATGACCACCATGACCAGCATGACCTGCACCCCCACCTCCTCCTCCGCGCACCTGCACCACCCGTCCGTGCTCACCTCCCACCACCACCCCGCGCAGCACCACCCGTCTCAGGGCCTGGAGGGCGACCTGCTGGACCACCTCACACCGGGTATCTCCCTGGGAGGCATGCCCGGCTCGGACGTCTGCTCCTCGGCCTCGCACACCGCCCACGCCGCGCACATGTCGGCCATCAACCACATGCAGCACCACCATCACCAGCAGTCCATGAACATGCACCCGCACGGCCTGGGCTCCCACAGCTCCCTGGGGAGTGGGTTAGACGCGGAGCCGGATCCCCGGGAGCTGGAGTCTTTCGCTGAGAGGTTCAAACAAAGGCGGATCAAACTCGGGGTGACCCAGGCGGACGTGGGCGCGGCCCTGGCCAACCTAAAGATCCCCGGGGTCGGATGTCTAAGCCAGAGCACCATCTGCAGGTTCGAGTCCCTGACGCTGTCTCACAACAACATGGTGGCCCTGAAGCCGATCCTGGAGGCCTGGTTGGAGGAGGCGGAGCGCGCGCAGAGGGAGAAGATGGCCAAGCCGGAGATCTTCAGCGGGGGGGACAAAAAGAGGAAACGGACATCCATCGCGGCCCCGGAGAAGCGCTCCCTCGAGGCCTACTTCGCCGTGCAGCCGAGGCCCTCCTCGGAGAAGATCGCTGCCATCGCGGAGAAACTGGACCTGAAAAAGAACGTGGTCCGGGTTTGGTTTTGCAATCAGAGGCAAAAGCAGAAACGAATGAAATTTTCTGCCACGCACTAAAACCTGCGGGGAGAGAGAGAGAGACACCTGCCTCGTTTACATAAAAACAAGACAAATCAGAGACAAGCTGCTGCTGCGCACTGTCAGAAAAACAAGGTACACCGTGGAGCCCGTGGAGCTTTTCAAATTGAACTAGTCTTATTTTCCCCCCTCTGATCAAACTTCATCATTAAGTGGTTTCTGCAGAATTATTTATTTATTTAAGCTGAAAACAAAAGATGCTGCATCACCACATCGGCTGAATTCCGTTTTTATTAAGGAAACAAAACAAACATTTTTGTGACTGAATTATGAACTCCATTTCTTGTTAACCTTCCTCTCAGTGTTGTCCGCATTGTAAAGGAACATCCGGGTTGTTTGCACCAGAAAGTATTCAACACAGGCAACATTTTTTTTTTTTTTTTTAAGTGGAAGCAGAGAAAAAACCTGCGCGCGTCTCAGGAGCGTCGACGTCCACACTGAACTCCACCACGGACTGTTTTTCTAATTGTTTTTGGAGGTTCTGCTTCAGAGACAACCGGATCCAAACGGTGTACCTTTCCTTTTTGTTGTTGTTGTTATTCTGACAGTGGAGACGGAGCACCGGGACCCGGAGAAAGACTGAGACCCTGTTCAAAAAAAAAAAACCATCAACCTGAGACTCACATGTGAATGCTTCTCCGCAGAGTTCAGGCCGACACTTTCTGAGACATGAAGAAATGAAGAAAAATTAAGAAAGAAGGGAAACAATTGCTCCGTCTCGTTCCTTCTTATGGCAATTATTGTACAAAAAAATACGCAGAATAATGACGTCATCGAGGACGAAGGATTCCTCTTTAGTCGGAAAAGCTTTTTTATATTTATCATTGTACATATCTGTGAATATGTTGCACCTCCGTGTGTGGAAAAGCTCATTGAAATGTATTGTCTTTTCTTCCAGGGGTTCAGTTTTTTTTGGAGGGGGGGGGGGGGGGGCAGATCGAGTTTTAAAAAAAAAAAGTCGGTCTGTGTCTAATTACTGAGGCACAATAATTCCTGTAATCCATTGCATGGTTTACTCTTAAAGACAAGGGGGAGGGGAGGATGGGTGTTTTCTGTGTTTCCAAAAAATAACCCCCCCAACCCTGAAGTGAATGCATTGCACACACACACACACACACACACACACACACACACACACGGGCGCACGAACACACACACATTCACACGGTATAGCTGTGTGGCTACCTCATTACGCAAGTGTTGGCACGTTCATGGTGATTTAAAAAAAACACACACACCCTAAAAAAAAAAAAAAGATTTGTTTTTAATCGTTTTTTTTGTGTTTCTCTTCCACCGGTTTCTGGTGAATTAGGCCTAGAAGACTCACTGATGTGTAAACCTGTTGTATGTTCACTGCAATGATGCTCTGACAATCAAATGATTATTATGATTTTATTATTATTATTATGATTTTATTATTATTATTATTATTCTGAGGGTCACTGACACCTTTGTGGAGCGCACTTTGTAGATATTCTGATGAAGGACGATAGTCAGCTTTATTTATTCTCCTTTTGTTTCTCCAACACTTCACACACGTTGAAATTTGTTTTTGGTCACACATTGCCCTTATTTATTTATTTATTTATTTATTTATTTATTTATTTATTTATTTATTCATTTACTTGAACTTTATTTATTTTGAATGAGATAAAAAAAAGTCATATTTCATTTGTGACAGTGTGCTTTAAATGTGTCTGTGTAAGCGACAGAAGCTGAAATAAACCGTGCACGTTTTACTTCATCCTCTCACAGACTTTCTTTGACGGAAAATATCTAAAATGTGAAAATGTGTTTTTTTTAAAAATATGATGCAGAAACATTTGAGGACAAAAAGAGGAATTTTAATTTGTGTGATGAGCTTTCAATCGGCCGCTCTGTGTTTGCCATCAGAGGTGTTAGAAGCATTTTTTAGAAGATAGATTTAATGGACGGCTGCAACATGAGCTCTGAGCAGCAGTGTGTGTGTGTGTGTGTGTGTGTGTGTGTGTGTGTGTGTGTGCAGAGAGGAGGAGGAGGGCAGCTGCTGCTCTGAAACAGGAGAAGCCTGGAGGTGAAGGAGGTCCGTCTGAAAGCTGCTTCCCAGCGGTGATGAATAGGATTTGATACTTGAGTGACTCTAATATTGATCAGCTTTGCCGGCTATGAAGAGAAACACACGGCTCTATCACTTTAAAGGATGAGCCTTCCTATCTTCATGTCTGAAGCTTTTTGGAGTTTTTCAACAAATGTTTCTCTGAAGTGAAGAGAAAAAAAAAACCTTCAGACTCTTTTCTAAGAGTCAGAAAGGCAGAAAAAAATCAGCTCAGACTCCAACTAAAACATAAAAAAAGAGTTTGTTTTTCTTCTGAACAAATCTGTGAACCACCATCCCAAATCAAAGAGGGAACAGCAGCTTCTTCCTGCACCTCTATGTTCAGTTTAGAGAACTATAGTATGATTTAAAATGACAAGACGAGAGTCACAACAAACTGAAAGAACTATTTCTTTTAAAATACAAAAGTCCCCTTTTTTAGGCAACTCAATTATTCTCTTTCCACTAGCAGAAAGTATAAAGCAGAAAGTATAAAGCAGGAAGCAGAAAGCAGGAAGCAGAAAGCAGGAAGCAGGAAGCAGAAAGCAGGAAGCAGGGCCGTAGTGAAGATTTTTTCAATGTGGGCGTCATGAGCCTCCCCACATTCGGGTTAGGTTGTTATCATAACAATCAAATTTGAAACTGAAGGTCCAAATTGTGTTTTAAAGCCTGCAAGGTTATAAGAGCTGCGACACCAAGGAGCTCCTGTGTGAAGGATTTATTGAAAAGTCTGAGGAAGAGCATGTTGGCTCCAATATATCACTTTTCAAATAATCCTTCATACAGGCCGCTCCCAGAGAATCAATGGTGTACGCTCAGCCTGGACATCCAGATGTAGACCTGCCAGTCTGCCCCCCCCCCCCCCCCCCATCTTATTTTCTTCTTTTTACCTGGTCATGATTTTTTGGATCCTGCACCCACTTAGGGATGTGCTTGTCTCTTTTTGATGCACCCAATCCAGGAAGAAAAATAGGGACAAATTCCTGTGTTTATTCATTTCTAAAAATAAAGGAGAAAGACTGAAACAATAAAAGTCTAAAGCACTGGAACCTGCTCATAAAACAGTCTACTCCTGCAGAGCCAACCCTATCTGAGTCCCCCCCTCATGTCCCCCCTCATGTCCCCCCTCACACCAGCTTCAAACTCATGATGTCGACCTCTTTCATTAACTATAAGCTCGATCACATTCAGCCGATAATGACATGTCTGTCAGATTCATCACGTACAATCTGGAGCTCCGCTCTGCTGCAATTAGGAGATCAAGAGAGCAACAACAAATAACCTCGCTTTACATTTCAAAGCGGCGCATTGTTGGAGGGAAACAGAGACGCTCTCTGAATGATTATGAGCCGCTCGTGGTGATGAAACCTAATCATCTGTGTCAGTTCATCCTTCATCGTTCAAGACGCTCGGACATTTCTAAAACACAAACAAAAACAGCAGCAGAGATAAAGAATGAGATCATGGTGTCAGTAAGACGTTCAGCATTTTAGAGAATCATCAAACATTCACTTTATTCATGCAGGATGGAGGACGTGCAGAGGGGACAGTTTGACACCTTCAGGGTTTTATGAGAGCACTAAACGCTTCATCCAATCAGCACACAGCAGCAGATTCATCAGGAAGAAGATTTAAAACGATGCCTGAGCACGTGGAGGAGTCTCTTTGGTTCAGCAGGTGGTTTGGGCCCGTCAACTCGTTATTAATGAATAATAAATATCAGCTGTTATGATACTATTGATTTTTTTAGCGGGTGTTTGTTTAGAAGCTTCTTTTCTCTGTCGTACAACAGCCGCTCGGCCCCCGATCCCCTCGGAGCTGCTCAGGCCTGCAGAGCGGAGCGGGGGCCTAACGGGGGCTCCGACAGTCAGTCAGCCGTGTGTGGAGCACACAGCTTCATGTCTCAGTTTTTCTTTTAATTGACTCTTTTAGTTTACATCAGTTAAACTGAAGAGAGACGTTTTAATCGAAGGTTCTCTGGAGGAGCAGAAATGACCTGACCTGTGAGGTTCCTGTCCCGCAGGTCAATCCCCACTCTCTCTCTAGCTCTCTCACCCTGACCCCGTCCAATGTCCAGTCTCTAAAAATGAAGGCAAAACAATCCCAATATAAATCAAAAAAACTAAAAATGAGAGAAAACAGTCCAGAGCTTTTGTGAAAAAGAATTATGAAGATCAGAAACTCCTAACCTCGTGTTTCAGAGGATTTCCTGCAACAACAAACAGAAAAGAAAAACCTGCACACCAATGTGACTTACAATTAAAAACAGTCGTTCAAGACAACATGGCTGCTGAAGCCTCAAAAACCTCGACTGATTTAAATATTGTTACAGATTTGTTCTCGGCTCAGTCGGTGCTTTAACTGCTGTGAAGGAAATCAGAAAATCACGATGAAATTAAGGAGTTAAAGGATCAAAATGATACCTTCTGAATCTGTTTCAGTACATCTAATACACAAAGGTAAGAGATGAAACCATGACAACAGGCTGATTATGTCCATATAAAAGACAGAGCATTAGTGTGCTGCTCTCTCTGACTTTGTTTTGTCCTCTTCAAAGGTTTGATACTCGTCAGATATCATTCTTATCTCCCTGACGATGATGTCGTCGTTCTCTTATTTTTATGCTCCGAGGACTCAAAGAAAAACGGACTTGTGTATCGTGCATTTGTCAATATTTAGAGATATTTTTCTTGCCCACCAGACAGACAGTGGGCTGCCATGTTGGTCTAACAAAGAATGTAGTACATGGCTTCATCAAAGTTTAATCGAGGAGCGGCCTCCAGTTGAAGCCTATAAATTATATATAATTGACGGTGTAATCAATGTGAGCAGTGTGTGAGGCTTCCCTGAGACAAAGTGACGGGAGGCTCATTATACACACACTAAAAAATAAGCACATGCTGTTTTTTTCTTTACTTTATAGTTTCTTCATATTTATCTACAAACTTTGCAACATAAAAATATCTCTGAATAACCTCTGAGAGTGCTTCAGCGAGCTCTGTCCTGTGAGATAAAGCTTAAAGGTGACATATCCTCCTCCTCCTCTTCTTCAGTGTAAATAAGTCTCAGAGCTCCTCAAAACATGTGTGTGAAGTTTCTTGTTCTAAATCCACTCTGATCCTGTATTTGATCATGTCTATAAACCCCTCTATTTCAGCCCTGCTCAGAACAGGCTGTTTCTGTGTCTGTACCTTTAAATATGTAAATGAGATGTATCTGACCCCGCCCCCTCTCTAGAAGGGCTTGGGTGTACTCGGTCTTTCTCGCTCCATGTCCTAT